TCATTTGGGGCCCTTATCTGTGAGATGCTCCAGAACAGTACTGGAGATGATGTTCCTCGTTACGGTAGACATGCATGCTACCTTGTGTTCCCGGATGTTCTGTGGAACTGTCTGTTAGTTCTACCTCAGAAGCTTGTCGAACATGAGCAAATAAATGAAAACATAGTTGCACTGATGTCAAATATATGTAACTTAGTCAAGTCGTTTCGTATATATGCCTTATCCACCGAGAAATTTGAACATTGAACAGCATGTCCGGGTTTCTTGGAGAGAACTGTTTGATCGATTGAGCATGGCCAAAACCGCTGATCTCAGCACCGTTCGTGAACTCACTGGCTTCCCCTTGTTTTTCACCCACCATGCACAATCTATGGACTTTTTCAACCAATTAAACTCAACCACCCATGGGATTATGCAAATTCGATACACTTTTTCCGCATCAATATAATTGGTATTTATTGGATTTTCTTTTGCAAAAGTGGAAAGGCCTAACTATTTTCCCAGTGATCGAGTGGGTAGTAAGCTTGCATGTGCTGGTGTTCTGCTTGTGAGATTTGGGTTCCAGTCCAAGTATGGTCGCTGGATTACCACTGCTGTTGATAGTAAACAGGTCAATCGGCTAAATGGCGCTTCCTAGCTTTACACGGACGAAATCCATCAGATAATTATATCAAACGTTCTACTACGCGTATTATAACGGTAATGGTCAGAGAATGAAGTTATTGAAATCGGGCATGCTTGAAAATTTCCATTTTATCAAATGATACGGTTTTGTTTTACTTGAATACCCTAAGGAGTATATGCACTTTATTTTGGCTCATTTTTCCTGCAAACAGTTTGCATAATTATTTTCTTCCAAACTGGGAAACGGTGCTGCCTAATCGAAAGAGTGCCGATTTCCGCAAGTTGGCAATAGTCAGAATTGCTCACAGTTTCGACTGTGGAAAAAGCAACATATTTCCATGAATATTGTGAATATATACGAAGACATGTTTCGACGTGGGGTTATAAATATGTATATTATTTGGTTGATCCAAAATCGGATGAGTGCTACACTGGGAGTGACTGCTTTTAGAAATATCAACTTGCTTTCTTGAAATGGTATGCAGCTATATATACATATGTATATTTTACACCGGCTTGTGAACAAACATGGTGCCAACGCCACAATAATAATAACAATAACTTTAATAGGAGATAGGTGGCTTGGGGTACAAAGTAAAGTGGGAAGAGGATGAAACCGTTAAATACGGGAAAACGGAAGATAACCAGATTAACAATTTTTTTGTGTATTTCAAACAGATTTTCGGACAATCCGTGTAGTGATAGTGACCTGTACGTATGAACTAGCTTCTATCATTTCTGTCAAATTATTCACGTTGACTGGTAAATCAACCATTCTGAATGAACTTCATGCGATTTACGGGAGTTAAAATAAGTGCCGTCAGAGTATAAAGTTTTTCCCACCAAAACTTGTCTGCTTAGCTCACGGATTGACTAATCCTCAACAAGAACATTGAAATTTAATGGTTTAGCAGCAACCTACCAAACATTTACCATTATGTTGTTAGTTACCACTAATAAAAATTCTCCTTAAAAATCGGGAATATAAACATCAAAGCAATATGTGATATAGGTTTATGTGCACACATACGTTATTGACGTGTAGTTTTGAATGCTGATTGTATGTATTTGAACAGGAAGTTCTTGAGCAACCTAATTCTGAACTGTGTAAATGAGTTGGATGATAATGACCGCAACAAACGTGAACTTAATGTATTTTACGGATGATCCTGTCCAAATAAATACCCCAAGCGTTGCTAAATGGAACACTTCTCGGGTACAAGGATATCAATGCCTTCATAAACGTTTGCCTTCGATACAAACCTGGTCAGCAGCAAGAACTGCACAATCGGTCTTGAGCTTCCAGAGATTGTAATTTAATGGATTCCCCGATGTTTGGTGTAGTTGACAGCTTCTCTTGTTGAATATTATTTGACAAACGTCGTACGGGAGTCTCTTCATCCATTCTGCTTATTCACGTATGATCAGATTTGGCGAGATTTGTTTCGCAGCAGAGTGTATTGATATCTCCACAATGGTTTCGCAAAATATACAACAGAACGTTTTAGACAAATAATTAAAGTGACCCCGATTTCACCTTGTCGATGCAGTCCTACTAAAGCACTGCTATTCTTTTTTATACTGCATCCTTCAAACATTGAGTGATACGTCCGTTTCTCTTTTGTTTGATTGCTGAATAAGTATTTCACGTAATTTAAGCTTCCAATAACTGTTGTTATAACGTAAAACCCTTAACCGAATGATAATTGTGTCTACAATAATATCTCTTCTGGTAATATGTTTTCATTTTAGCGCCCTTGATAGTTAGTTTGCCTATGCAAGCCTAAGGATTGTTTACTTATTCAAAATGTGTGGTATTTCAAATTATGCATTTCATACCATGAACGAATGAATTTTCCTTCAGCGGAGTTTTACAATATTACCGTAAAATGACAACATAATGGCTTCAATTCAGTTCTCTGAGTGAAGAATTAAGCAACCAAGTTACGAGGAAGAGCATAAGAGTATTAGGAGAAAACTTGGATTGCATACAGCAATCACAGATTTGAACACCGCTTACAGGCTGTTGCGATGTGCCATTTAACAGTGCCAGTTCCCGCACTGACTGAGCATTACGCTACTGCTCACCTTACTACTGATGTCTTGTCTTGTCTTTTCACTTCCTCGAGTAAACGAATGTACAGAGCAAATCCAGGAGGGGGGCATATAAAGGCTGCCTGGGAAGACGGCCGGCGGTGGGCCGGTTCAAACCCCGGACTCACAGCTCACAAGTTGGTGACCTAACCACTTAGCCACGACTGAGTTACTGTTACTGATCACAGGCGTTCTCTCCAATTAAAGATAGCAGTCGTTGCAAGAAGCAAAAGTTTGGATGAGGATCTGTCGGGAACTATCAAACATATTTTTATTAAAAAAGGTAATTTGTCGGATAAAAAGTTACATCTTGGGTGATGCGAAAATGAAGACCCTACTTTTTGTGGGTCTGACTGCTCCTCAAGAAATAATCAAAATGCCGATAAATCCTGATTGGGACAGTATTTAGAGAATGCAATTGTTAATTTCAGCTACGGTTTACAGGACTTCAACTCAGGGGAAAAAATAAATTCATCTTCCGGAAATGGATTAGAACGAGGACTAAACAACGATATTGCATTGTGTTGTATTTTACTATGTTATATTGTATTTTATTGACGCTGTCGTGAGTTATCTACAAACGTTGAGCGAAAAGTAGAACACTGTCACAATACTGGTGAATAAAGCGAAAAATGTGGGACTTCAAATGTGCAAAAGTATGAAATAATTACAGAGTCTATTAGAAAGCTGAGAACGAACACTTTCCTTGTCGGTCGGTATCCGGACAGGGTTGGGTACCAGAAGGTTTTCTTAATGCGGATATTTGAGATGGGATGAGTTTTGTAATTCGAACGGGTGGAGGGGGGATTCACCTGCACACAGGTCAGTGTGTATGGGATGTGTGAAGTCAGACAGAATATTGTCAGTAAACTTCAAGCACGAATCAATATGAGCATTACACATATTGCTAATCAGAACAGATAGCAGAACTTGGGAAGCACGACTGGTTATTGAGAGTCCAGACTTGAGCAACCTGAAATCGGCCTTTAGCAAATGAATTAGTAAACACAACTTGGTCGGTCGCTGAGTGACTAAAAAAATGCACCTCAGTATAAACATACACAGCTATTTATCATGCGCCCTGGTGGTCGTGTAAATAACTGAGAGTTAACCACAATCGAGAATCAAGTATGAACAAAGTGGAATTTATACGCTAACCAGTAGGTAGCACCACCCAAAGTTATTGGTACTTCAGTTGCTGAAGGATGAGTCGAAATTGGGAACGTCTTCTCATCAATACATCGTTTCTCTCTACCAGAATTTCACCAACAATTGATTCCATAGTTTCCTCAGCTGTGGCTTACTGATTATAACCAATAGGTTGAGATGAGATCCAAGCATCGATTTTTTTTATCACTAAAAAACTCAATTTTTTGAATGGGTGTTCGGTTTATTTATGCCTTTGTGACTGCAGCGCCTAATTACATTCGAAAACCTACACGTGGGGAAAAGAAACCAGTAAGGTAACGATGAACACACCACGACTCGTCCTATGTTTTTATCATATAAGTATTGATTTATGCATATGAACACCACAAGTCATTCAGCTAGCACACTGACAAAAAAACAAACACTGAAAAGCAAAGCTCTCTTAAATTCTTTTAGTACGAAAGATTGCATAGCTCAATTTATCAAGATAAGTGCACCTAAGTGGAAAGCGGATATGCTGTTTCTAGTAGCTTGAGCGAATTGTGAACTACAATTATAAACGAAAAAACACTTGTGCTAATTGCACTGGAACTAGTGAATGATGAACGCTCAGTAAGAAGGAATATATGTGAAACAGAAAAGCTACCTCTAAACGCAATGTTTTGCAGTCGGTTATTCTATCTTCCAGAGGGTTTTACAATTATGGCATAATTACTATTAGTATACAAGATCAAAATGAAGTCAAATCGTTCATAGATCTGTTCACATCTGTTACATCAGAGTTTATCAGTTGCATAAACAATAGATAACAAGCTGAGGCTTGGTTACCTTTGGATAGTTGGATGTAACATCATTAAGCACATCTGGAAAGATTACTGGGAGCCTCTGAGTTAATATACGAATTGCTTATCATGAAGTCTAAGAGAGTGAAAACTTACTGGTGCCCCAGTACACAATAGTAGTCATTGGAATTAGTATATTGGTGACCTTTGAATGAAAACTGACGGTACTTCTAATCGTTTACAACAAATTATGGGTCTCTAGCTTACAACAGTACCTCACCTCCATCATTGGATTGTGGACAAAAACACGGTTGAAATTGTCTTGAGGGGAGAGTTCTTAAATTTCAAACGATGGGTCTGATATTACGGCATCAACATTTCGGTGAGAAATGAACACACGAATACGAGCATTGGAGTTGACAAAATAAAACATACGGCAGGATCAAATGACATTTAGGATAACTGAGCAAAAGCCTGAAGGTGGTAGCTTTATAATATCTGAACATGTTCAGCATCGCAACTCTGAGTGCAATGAAAAGTCAAGATAATGAGCTCCCTTCTCAAGCTCATCATCACAACCATCAGAGTGAGGCAATTCTGTTACCGATTCCCTTGCATTCCTATCAAACCAGTACCGAGTGAAATACAACTTGTGCAGTCTTGGTTCACAGAGATACACTTTAGCAGTTAGAAAATCGAAAAAAATGTTCAGTTGTTAAACTTTTCCGCGGTGCTTTCAGCTTTTTTACATTTCCCTACCTCATGAATATTTTCCCTTTTACCGTAGGTCAACGTAAAGAACACACACGTGCAATTCAGCTGAAATGATACACAGTCATCGGCTGTTATTGAGGTTCACTAGAGCTCAGTACTGGTGGATTTCAGCATGAAGCTAATTATATAAGCTCCTCCGCTGTCTGTAGGAAAGTAATCAACACAACATTCTTGTTTGCATTGATCCAAGATAAATTTTCCTCCAATTCTATAAATATATCCTTTTGTGAAAATCAGTCGATCCCGCCGGAACACATCATAGCTTTTATGTCAATAATTTCCATATAAGTAAGATTTGTTCTCGATGAATGAGATAGAACTTTCTATTTTCATACAGAAAAGTGATTTGATGGCAAAATCAAAGCGGTGTACCACTTCGTATTCTTTCCACAAGGATTCATTCACTTTCAGAATAAACCTATTATTATGGTTAACTGTTGTTCTCATGTTACCTCGCTACTCTGCTCTCATTTAATACAGGTATCTACGATCTAGTTATCTCCAGTGTCCGTTTGGAGGACGAAGCTAGCTTCATATGTCAGGCTAATGTAAAACTATATCGCGAAGCACGAACTCCGATTATTGAAACCTTGACAAGTCTACCTGTGTATTTAGGCGTTATTGGTGAGTCAGTCTACCTGTAAAATTGTGTTGCTCTCGTTATTTTTTTCGAACCCGTCAAATACTTGAAACGTTTTGAAATACAGATAGATGTCTGGTAGTTAAACAATGAAAAAAATATGTTATTCATGAAATGATATGTTCATATATTCCTCCATCTGTGTAATTATTATTGGTGGACTGAAATTCCAATATTTTGGTTTTTACACAAATTACCGCCCTAAGTTAATACTTTGTCAGTACTGCTAATAGTTTACGTATTCAATTGACTCGTAAAGTTTTGCTGTGAAATGCTTGCATCTCTCGCTTGCTGTTGTCAGCGGTTCATCTCGGCTTTGCGAAATGGTGCAGAAGCTACATTATTTCAGGGGTGAATACATTATGGTAGCCTTTGAGTGTCAGAGCGATCATCCATGTAACAAATAGTTCACAATTCTCGTTGGTTCACCTTTCCGTCGATGATGTAAATAGACCAAGAGCTAAATGAAGAACAAGATCCTGAAGGTAATACGATCACTAAGCTTCTAACATGAAAGGGTATTCGTTTCTGCGTTTTTCCCTTTCAACGAAATAAAACTGACACATAATTCACATGAAGCACAACGTTTGGAAATTAAACTTTTATTCACACTTTTCTAAAACAACAATTAACTTTTGTACGGCTTGTTGAAAATAATACAAACGTGCACAATATTGCGCAATTTCAAGATTTTGAATAAATGGGACTGTTATTAGGACATTTTAAAGTAAATATTAAAAGACATTATATTGCCAAATGATAATCTCTCGAATGGTATTTAAACGCACTCTACACCGCTATATGTCACAGCCATCATAGGTGTTGTCCATTAGGTCCATTAGGGACATTCTACGTGAACTATTGCTAGCTGTTGCACGGTACCGGATTGGCGGAAAGTCAAACTTCGATCAAATATGAACTTGGATTGTAGACGTTGCCCTTGGAATTCACTTTTTGACACTAGGATAAGTGTAAGTAACACGATGAACTTCATTTGAACGGACAAGAGTTTGCAAATACGCTGTCAAACTAAGTTCACAGATAATGCACATCGGCCAGCAAGTACAACGTAAGGTGACGCATATCAGTGTTTTGTTTCTTGTTGGGTCAAAATTCTGTAAAAGCCTAATATGTACAGCAAGTAATACGCTGAACTAAGGTAAACTCCAACACAAACGAGCTACTGTAGGGAACCGGTGTAATCAGGCTAGAAAATTATTTCAAGTGAATGTCAAATAGATTTCAATTTTGAAAGAAACTAGGAGCTACGGGGGCACTTTTACCGTTCAGTTTACGTTTTGAAGTGACTTTTACATGACCAATCTTACACTGTACTTATTTGCTAACTAACTTGGGCTGACAAACTTTGTGTAATATATTAGAAACAAATGGTGTTTTTTAAACAGCAACTGAACAATTGTCTTGAAAAATTGGTGAGTGACAATATTTTGTTTTTATTTCTTCACACTGGCCTTTTACCTTTTTTCTAGTACCTCCAAAAGGTCTGGTTATGCGGAAAACCGTATTCAAACCACAGTTTTCTCAGACATCCTATGATCAAGAGGTTCCGAGTCGTGTCGCCATTGCTTGGAACAATTCCACACATAATCAAATCCTTCCAGCTCACCTAAAGGGAACATTGCTTGGTGAAATACCCTCAGCATCTAACAGAACCGTTGCAGATGACCCAGCCATGATCGATAGCAATCGCCCGTCAGATGAGTTTACTACCTCAAATAATCAATCCCGTAGGAATCATTCCTCCACCGGTTCGTTAGATTCCCGTAAACATCCGGGTGACAAATCGGAGATTCCTATCGTTTGGGTCAAAGAAAAAGATCAGTTAACTGTTGAATGCCAAAGCAGTCCTTCAAAACCTGTTAGCCAAATTGTTTGGATGTTGGCAGGTGCTTACCTTCAACGGACTAACATGTCAGACGTAACTGGACAGGACCCGAACCTCTCACCTTCAGCCATGCTTTGGCAGGGATCAATGCTTGGCGATAGTATTTTTGTTAGTCGTTTTCCACCTAAACTTGGTGAACGGTATGAGATTGAGGAAAGACAACTGAGTGTACCTCGGGAACAAGCAGTTTATGATTATTTGCAACTTACTGAAAACAACAATCAGACCGAAGATGTAATGTAAGTTATCTGCTTCATTTTACTATTAAATGGTTTGTCTTTTTATTTGAGCTGGATCGTTGTACCATTTGAAGTTGTTTATTCTATCATGCCACTTAGTTGTGTCGCAGTTGACTCTCAATCGGTGCCCGTTTTCGGGATGTAACATAAAATCACGATGAAGTGGAATTCAGCGCTTTCCTCCAACTTATTTCGTTACTAATTAAGCACATTGGAGTTAACTTTCAAATACTGTTTACCTTTCGAAAGTAGTGCACATGGTTTGAGTTCCCTCTGTTCACGTTACCACTAGCAGTAGGAGACAATTGTCGCAGGATGTCAACATTTGGTTTATTCTGCTCAATCACTGACGTAAAACAATCTGGTGGATATATAGCATATTGGGTTGATCAATCACACTGTTTGGAAACTGATATGCAAGCAAAGGAGTGGAAGTGAACTCCTACAATAATGAAGTGAGTATGTCAAAAACGTTTGTAAGCATACACTGAGCGAGGTCATCCAATGAGCAAGGCTTCAACCATTATCAAAAGTTTGTCATTGTTTGTGGGGACTTGTGTTCGCTGAGCTTGGCGTTTAGATCACAAACTTATGATCACCAGCCGAGATGACATCGTCAGTGCGTCGGCTGTCATTGTTCTTATGAAGTAAGGAAAAATGTGCAGATTGTTGTCAAGCCATGTCTGCAAAAAAGAAAATCCTGGATTCTTGTGATAGTTTGATCATCGATTATATGAATGCGATATGTAAATGGACTAAATTTCATAAGTGGTTTCAATCTTTATAAGGCCAATAGAATGAGACGACTCGTTTAACCTTCGCTTGGATACAAACATAATTCCATGTTTCCGGTATACCAATGATCAACGGTTGAAGTATTTGTTAGGATGAATTCAATGTTATCTTTTGTGTCCTGCCCTCACCGTTCATCTTCTATGTGATACAAAGGCGGAACTAGAGACACAACTATTGATATTACTATAAATATGTTTTTATAATTGAAGTAGTCTGTTTTCACTGAAACAGATTCCACCAAAAGTCTTATTTTCCACTAATTTCTTTTTCCAAGCCTGACCTAGTTTGAACACTTCATTAAAAAGCGAAAGGCGCATAGAAATAAGCATCTATCTTTAAATTTTGATGAAAGGAAATTTTAATATGCAGGATATATACCTCGAAAAATGGTATTACACAAACTCTACTGAGTAAGTTTATCTCACAAGATAACGCTTTAGAATAATGCATAGTTAATGAAAGACATTTCATGGAAATAAGTTATTTAGAGTATTACTAATCAATTAATCGTATTTACGGTACATTCATTTTCGTTTTGAAAAATGAATCAATGGCTCAAAAGTGAAATGTGTAATTATTGAATTATTTGGAGTGAAAATATTTTCAAGGAATTCAAAGAAACAACATGTTAGAATTATGCTTTATATAGGGTGATACAGCCAAACCGCAAAAATGAAAGTTTTAAAATAAAAGCTCAACCCCACAAAAGGTCTGTAAATGGTGCTTCTATGAACCTGTCTATATGCTAGTCAGTTGTTTTATCCAAAACAAATGGTCACTGTCGCATATCATGCAGTAGAACGCGACACAGTTACGTGAAGTGAAATGAATAAAATACCACACACATTTCTCTTCGGTTTTCAATTATGTGCTGAAGTACTTCTTGCATAAAATGTAGCTTCATCATATCTTTATACATTAGTTTCATAATAATGTAAAGAAAAAAAAACTGTAGAAATTGTGGTATTTGAATACAATCAAGAAATCACAAAAATATTGTCGTAGCTTACGTCTAAGTATTAAGCAAAATTAAACCAGAATTCAGAACTAAAATGGAATAACTCAATTACTTGTAAAGATTTACCACTCATAGAAACTGAAAATTATTATCGACATTCCCTTAAGTGAATCCGTATTTTGGCTGTCACATGTGCATGCATGAAGCATTATAAAAGGTGGAGAAAAAATGTGTGATAGTCCCCAAAGAGAGAAAATTAACAGTATTGAGAATGTAGGAAAATGAAGGCTGTACATTGACCTTATTGAGTTGATCATACTATTTGAGATTTTGGGCAATCTTTACCAATTTCAGCGATTTCGTCGATCAACTCGGTAACTCGTTCTTTCGCATATATTTATTGTCTTATCAACAATATGATTATCCTGATTTACCATAAAAACCAGTACTACAGTTTAATCAATTTGCCTGATCCACAATTCTATCATCAATTTGTAATGCTACACATTCTTTCGCTTCTGCAGGAAGGTTGCTGTGAGCATTTTGCGGTTGATAGTGCAGAAACATCATCAACGGCAACTGCTACAGTGCCAAATTGCCAATACAAATGATTTCATGGTTCAAGAATTACCAACGGTTTCCGCTATAATTGAGCCGCTATGTAAGTGTTGTTACAACATTCAGCTTTTCTATTGCTTTTGAACACTGAAGACTACGTACTGAAGGAAGTGGAGATCACTTTTTTCAGCTTGTTATCCACCCCAAAAGTATGTGGTTCGCGCAAATGGGTAACATTGGGTAGCATTTCTCCCTAAGTTTCAAATCTCTTAAGCTGGTTTTCTGTAAGTCAATAATTAATTCCGCTGATTAGTCGCTCTTTAGCTTTTGATAAAAATGTGCATTTACTATGAATATGTTGTCACCATTCTTTAGATGTGTTGCGTCTAATCCTGGAAATTAAAATTAAATTTTACATTACCAGCTTATGTCATAAAATTCTTTCAGATATTGGAAAGCAATTCATTTCGTTTATTTCATAAACGTGCGTAGGTAGCAGCTCTTTTTTCTGTGAATTTACCTCCGGACGGGAAACGTAAATATTTGACCCCATTTACTCAACCTGATTAATAATTCCACCGCGGTGTTGTGGTTTAACCCACAGTTCTATTTGAGGTCAACAAAGCTCAGTTTTAAGATGCACTGTTTAAAAATACAGAAATTATTCATGGTTCCTGTTCCGTATTTGCATTTTGCTCAATTCCCTTTTGTTGATTAGATGTGGACAAAATTCGCATTGAACCGGTCGGGGAGGTGGACAGCGCTGAAATGCGGGAAGGAGTCAATGTAGAATATCACTGTACAGCAAATACAAATCCACCAAACGCATTTTATCGGTGAGTATCCTTTACGTCTACTATTGCCGAAGTGTTTAACGCAAGACCGTCGGTTTAAAATAAATACCAGTTGTTCTCGTGTGCTATTTATGATATTATTAAAGCATTAAGTGCCCAGCTGCTATGGGTGAAAATAGATATCTATGAAAAAACCTTTAAAGCAGAATTGCAATTAAATGTTCTTGTCAGTTTTGCTGCATTCTGACTTTTATACAACAGAATAATATTGCTGTATACTGACTCGGTGATTGAGTTATAAAATGTCTAACGTAAATTTGTATAGACCCGAAGTTGTACAATGACTTAATCTGTTCTGGCACCGATCGGGCTGCCATTGATTAATAACGACTATGTCGGCATTGTGTGTCAATGAAAGATCAACACATTGATCGGTGAGATGTGCAATTCGCATACATCATTAGCAGCACATCTAGATAATCGTCATCATCACATTGCATAGTTCATTTCAGTTGACTGTGGCTCATTCATGGCGATTTGTCATGGTTTTCAAAATTACCAAGATATTTCCGTCACGAAACGAAAAACAGGAGTTACAAGTCGTACGCAATATCTTCCCATAGCAAGATCATTTGTGATGCACTTTGTAAAATCTGCTTCGCTATGCAGTAGTTTTATATTTCACGAATAACTTACTCAGCCAAGGTGACTTGTAATAAAACAATGGTTTCTATGCCAACCTTTGGGACTTATGCATACTTATACATTCACATCAGAAAACGTGAGGTATTATTTGTATCAACATTGTATTAAGCAAACGCTGGATGCAATCACATAAGCTCTATAGATCGTAGTTGCCTACTTTATGATGTAAAATCTAAGGTCCTTGGGATAAAACAGAAGACGAATTTCCCTAAACTATCCCTGGGACCCAGAATTTTTACTTCGCATCAATCCTGATCCCGCTGTAAATCACCAACCTTTGCAATAATACATTTGCACAGTATATCACAATCGCTGATCCAATCAACAACCTTCGAGAATGCCTGTTACGTCATACTTCAATACATATGGAATGAACGAAAATGGGAATGGGTTTTTATTCATCAGATTTTGTGCGATCAGAAACAGTGACGCGGAAAACAATTCGATCAATCCTTCTGCCTCTGCGGACACTGTGTTTAGATGCTTTGGTTGCATGATTACTCTTTTCAAGGCTATCGTACCCAATTTCTCCCATAAATGACGCAAATAACATAAAATGAATACAATTATTTTTTCGTCAATGAAACATTATGGGACATAGACGATAAAAGCCCTATTAAAGACAAACGACTAAACCTCACCCGCCACCACTCCCCAGAATCCAGGTTTTGTGCTGATGGCCACCAACTGAGCAGCGTATTACGAAAAAACAGTCGTTTCAATAGAAAACGTGATAGTCTAAACGTTCTACTGAAGATGCTATATACACATCATGATGCACTTACATGCCGTTTGTATGATGGCCCGGCGCCAGACCTCCGACGAACCATTCTTGCTTTGTCTACTATTGGCAGTTAATTTTTCTCTATGAACACAGCGATCAATTGAGTGGTACTATTTATCTACGGATCAAAAGTGGTTAAAATCATTTCCGTGAATAAAAGCGGATAAACGTTCTGCGTTCGGTATAACTGAAAACAAATCGATCAAATTTGTGTAAAACAGAAATAAGTACTGATTTGTTAGTTTAAATTTTTAAACTATTTTTTGAATTAATGAAGAAAAATAAAGGAACATATATGCTTTGTAGAGACTTATTTCTTTCGTGCGAGTTCCTCAGTATCATTTAGACAAAAAAATAAAGAACTAGAAATATATGCATCTCTTTGTCGAGTATTGCCTAATTTACCGTCCACTTATCCGGTGCAATTCATAGTGATTTTTTAATTTTTCCTTATGTAAAACTCTTTTTCTTGTCTTTCCGAACATTTAGCGGACACGGAAGAGTAACCATCCTGATTAACTTGGGTTGTTTCAACAGTTAACTTAATGCAACTACGAACTTTGTGTATCAGTAGGTAGCTTCTACGAAACCTCTCCTTACATAAAGGTACATTTGATTTTTATTCCCTTTTGACAGACGTTGGGAGGAGGAATCTTTCGCTGTGCAAATAACAAGTTATATAGTCATTGGCTATTATTGTGCTTTTGTTATAGCTTGATGGAACGTAATAATATTACATTGATTCTTTTAACAGCTGGATGTTAATTCGAGAAGACTCTGCACTTCTGCCTAGGGGAGACAATGTTACATACCACTCGGAGCCCAGGGATATCATTCGCTCAACACCGGTTAATTCTGCTTCGTCTGATCCGAGCACAGTTCGTTTACGGCTTCAACGCGATATGCACCGCGGGAGAATTGTCTGCTGGGTTGGTGTTCGCTTCCCCGACTCATTTAGTACACAAAAGTTTGCGGGTTCGACAATTGTGCGTCCATCGGAAATGGATGAACAAATGACATGGCGCAAAGCAGAAAGAGAAATGAACATACTATGTGAGTTTTATCTCAAGGCCAAATATTTATAAACTATTAGATGAAAGCATTTTCCATAATACTGTATCGTACTGTTGCTTTGTTCGACCAGTCATCCATCATCAATATTATCATCACACTGTGCTCTACCTTTACTTTAAAAAAGGGTTACATCAAGCATTCTGGAGCTGATATGGATGTTTCGTTAACCGTAGGCAATGTTTAACACTGTGCCATTCAGAACTCACGATACATTTGAAAAGGTCATTTGAAAGAAAACACCATGACGGGAACGTCCCCGTACACTATAATAGATGACGTGCTTGTTGCTTTGAACAAAACTAATACATATGAAATGAAGTAAGAACACTGATCAAATTGTCTGTATGCGAGTGTGATTGTACACGATTAGTAAAGGGAAAGGTCATTGAATGTTAAAGATCGTGCGCTTTTGATCTCCCAGTATGACTTTCTGTGAGCGATTGATAGTAATTCTCAGACTGTTAATTGATTTATCTCTTAATGTTCAAACAAAACCCAAAGGTGTTTCGTAAATTATATATTTTGACCACATTCTACTTAGATGAGTGTGCTGACCGAGGTTCTTCTATTGTCTACAAAGAGAATATATGAGGTTGTGTGGGTCAATGATTTTGTATGCACTTTGGAATGTGTTTGACCATTCTACAGCTGCTAGTGATCGACAGATTCTACAAATGTATGCTTCGTTGAAGCCGCAAGAGTTGGCATTGAGGCCGTTAGAGGTAAATTCGAGTGAGTGATGATCTTTGCATAGGGGCTTGGCGAGAAGATGTCTGACCGAGTCAAAATATAATGCAGCCGTACATTACGTTCTTTCTCAGTCATGTGCAAGAGGGCATTTGACGAGCCACACTTTTATCTCTTTGTATGGGCGGACTACCATTATACCCTTCTGAGACACTATCCATATGTGCCAGTGTCTGGTTTCATGTCCGATTGTGAAAACGAATAAATTAATTTGGAAGTCCGTTCTCAGATAATTTTGTTAAGGGATTCTCATGCTCATTTAATGGGATATTCCCTGCACATATTTGTCTCACCCTATGGAGCATAGCTTGAACTATGCCCTTCTTGTGTTCAAATTGAGGTAGTGCCCAGACCCAGTCTTCCTAAGGAAGCAAGGTCGTCTAACAGAACTAATATTTTTTAAAGTTAATAAAACATCCAGGAGAGATAGCTAGTCATCTTTTTCCACTTCGCGAGTGAAAGTAAAATTCAAATGTGCTGCCATAGATCGATGTCTTCTGATTCGTGAACAGGACCAAACACGCTGTGAACGTATCTTTTGTACAAAACGGTTCTTTTATCTCCACATTCAACGAAGTGTTGATTAAATCGATGAAAGTGTCAACTACGTGTACTGGTTATCGTAACTCTGTCCATCTGTCTAGAAGTATTTCTCTCTCAAAATAAAAACATGCGCTATCGGTGCACAGTAGGTTACGAAGTTCAATAAGTAATGGAGGTATTACAATGGTAGCTTCTTCTCGTACACTGAATTCAAATATAGTCCACGATTTACTGTAGGGGGAATTCGTGATTTGTGAATATTCCTGTATTCAGGTGAAAGCAACCAAATTTGAGGACCGGTACAGTTATACATAAATGTCAGTTTGATAAGTTGTGCAACAAGGATGCGTACTATTTCGCTAAAATAAATTTTACCCTCGGAGAAAAGTGTAACGGAACTCGATTTGGATTGATGTGTTTAGCACGGTACCTATGTGTCATAATTTTGATTTCGGTTTGAGTGAATTCAATGCCAGCAAATGTGAATTAATAAAAAATGGCTTAATTCGTATCGGCAGTACAAGTAAAATAATCAATTGAATAAAAGAAATGGCTGATAAGCGGTAAAAACGACAAACCAATCAGGCGTTTCTGTGAAATTTTGTCCGGTCATTCACATATTACCGGTACACTCATTTTAAATTGGTCCTGGTCCCGCGGTTGCCGAAGTAAGATGCCTCTTACTTATAAAAGTGTCACAAATTCATTTAATGCATGATTAGAGTTTAGCTTGAAGCCAAACTGCTCCCTGGGATTCAAAAGATGTTTTAGACAATAACGTGATTATCTGAAATGAAACGGTGTACTGATATTTGGAGCACTGATTAATTGATTGGCTTTTGCCAAGGTAAATTAGGTTGCAACGATTGCCGTTGGTCTCAAATGTTAGTGATTCTTTCAGATTGCATAATGAATCCCGGTATGCCTCGAAAGGTAAACACGGTATGTATAGTCGTAAAGTAATCTAAAGTAGAACAATCTGAACCTATATTTAAAGAGAATAAGCACAGAGTTGTTCTTAGTTAATTCGTTTCTAAGGGGATTACCTTAGTTTCTCCAGAAAATCGTTAATGGTAGTTTCCGTATGAGCGGAAGGTTAAACAAATTCGCAGATAATCTGTAGTGGAATATCAATACCGATGCAGTGATTTGGTGGTTTAGTGGTAAATTTTACCTTGCCATGGTACCAGTTCACCACTTGGTTGAAGTTTACCTGCTTGCGTCATGGAGACTTTGTTCCGTATGCTAATTAACGCCGATAGTTTACAAAATAAAAAGTCGCAAATACCCCTCCGGTTGTGGACCGCACAACCATGCCGGTAGGGTTTTGGCGTCAGGTAAAGGCGAGAAAACAAATAAAAATTATCATTCATTTGGGGTAACTTGAAGTCCTGCATTCAACATGCTGAATCAACTTAACTCTCTATGCAATCCATAATATATTTTACAGATTGATGTAGGCTTTGTTCTGCCGCAGTAGAACTAGTATGTCATGCAGTCACGCCAAAATGCACGGAGAATGGTTAGTGATGCATAAAATAGTTCCTTTATACTACAAACATACATGCAAACATATCACAACAATCTAATTTAATTTTACCTCTGCATTCAGGAGAAAAGGAGCATTATTTCAACAGCGAACAGTGAAGGTTTTTCTGCAAGAAAGCCATCATTGCATATTTGTTTTACATGCAGCATTCATCAATAGTAAAGATTACTACCGTTGGCCAATACCAAAACAAACGTTTGATTGAAAAATACTACCAACCAGTTGATGCACATCTATTATGATTACTTAATGTTTACGCAATTAAGTATTCCCAATTTAATACTAGTTTTTGAGCAACTTATTCTATAACTATGTTATTTTGATTTTACGGGGCACAAATCATTTTTTGATAACTTCATTTGCCAATCAAATGCGTATTTTGCTGCTCGTCGAGAATGTGAATCCGGTAATCTTTTGTCAGTTCATTCATATACTTGTACCCATAAAGTGTATTTTCGTTACAATAACCTTGTTTGCGATACCGGGTGATTTTTGGACAGACCTTTTCTAAATCAAGACCATCTGATCCATCTACAAAATATCTAATCATAGTATTGATTCTTCAGTGGACTGGCTCTGAAAGACCTGTCTATCCAAAAATCACCCGTTGTTACAAACGAGGTTATTGTGGCAAATATATATGTATATAACTGTAGCGTTTATTCGGATGTTTTGTAGGTTGACCGTTTTTTAGGTACAAAAGAGGCTGTTATGTATGTTCTAGTGAAATACACTTGTTTTTTTCAAGCTGATCAAAATTGTCTAAACACTGGTAAATTTATGGTTTGAAAACTGAATCTAGGGGTTTCACAGCAGAACTGCTCTATGATGTAACCAACAAAGAGACAACCTCCCGTTCGTTTATCTGAAGCAATGTATCTAAAACAGCAAGAGCAGATACGGGAAACCGATTTCTTTCTATATATGTGAATAACAAAAATGTAGCCGATTTTGGAGAAACTTTGTCCTTACTAGGGTATAATCAATCTCGAATTTCTCTGAAATATCAAGACAAGCCCGTTGATATATTGCTCTGATTACTATCAAACGTAAATTACTTTATGTGCCCATTACCTGTCGCGATCACAATAAAATATCCTAACTTCCTCGTAAATCAGCTGCTTGCTTCCGAAAATAGTTCGATTTCTCAATTGGCGGATTTTTGTAGTTGAAGTCAGATGTCAACATTACTCTTTAAATGCAGATGGAACCCAGTTACTGGAGGCAAGACAACATGATGTATTGCAGTGACGGTTAATAGAAAAAGATTTCAATTATTCTATCTTTAAGGATAAACGAAAATTAACCTACTCAACTGCTGACCAACACCGTATCAGTCACCTGATGCTATAAGTCGTACCAATTTATCTGGTGCATCAACAGCCTACCTTTTGTCATGATGAAGAGACAGAACACTCAAATAGATACTACGCGAAAACTCTTCTTCGCTTTGTGCTAGCTCAGTTATTATTGTTTTAATTATAAGTAATATGGCCACAGTAAATTGTCCTGTCTTTTTTTTGCATATTTTGATTAGTGTATCGGCATTCCTCCTAGCAGCTCACTCTTATTCCGTTATTCATTTAAAGATGGACTCCACAGACGCTTTTGTATACACTTGTTTCGGATGTCTACGAATTTTTCAGTTAAACCGCGAAGACGTTTATGCCTGAATACGTTTTAGTCATGCATTGGACTATGGAATCGTTATTTTCCAGATGAAACATCTCACAATAAAGCGACAGCAGAAAATGCTCGATTTTCAACCAGGTCGTATCGATGATTCAGTCATGTTTCAATGGTTCATAGTGTTTAGATAGGGAGCATAGGTTTGAGTGAACAGTCTGTGTGATCATGATGGATGGTTATGATATGATAAATATACATCAATCATTGAATAGATCATTCGGTTGCCCTCGACCATGGTGCGTTTTTGGACACCATACGATCTCGTAAATTGATGTCGACTTTGGGCACCCATGACTAAGCTTGTGCAAGTGGTT